AGGAACAGCGGCTGTGAGACGGGCCCGAGAAATCGGATCCATAAGGAGCTTCTCCTTAGCAAAATTGGGAAATGGGAGGGGTCAGTGTTTGGGGTTTGTGTACCCGGCTAAGCAAACTGAACATCCTCTAAAGAGAAGTCAGCGCAATTAAAAAATATAAAAATAACGAATGCAAAACTGAGATAAAGTTGAAATCAAGGGATGAAGTAAACTGTCATACATTAATTTGCAGCAGGTTGGCTGTCGTAGGTACGTGTGCATGTGTGACATTTTATAGCGTAGTCCGTAGCTGTTTTGCAAGATCTGTGTGGCGAATTCAGCGTGACGGCGCGCTCTCCGTCTGCGTCCTTCTCCTTAGCAGTTCCCGTTCATAAGCTGACCTGTATGTGCCCTCCAAGGTTGGCAGAACTGACTCCTCCTCTGCCTTTGCTTCATGTTCTTGTTTAAACCAAAAGTAAAATGCAACTATTTTACCATTGCTAAAGTGTAGATCCTAGCTCCTTGCGTTAAGTGAATCCCAGTCTTAGGTGTGGAGGGATGAGGCTCTTTCATTTTCAGCTTGTCTAATGGTGAGTGGACAAACAAACGCGAAGAAGGCGGCTCCTGCATGCCGCGACGCATGAACGCATTCTTGCCCCACGGAAATGCGGCGTGGCTGCGTTGATCTGATTCACAGCTTCGTTCTGACCTCTCTGCAGAACTTCAAGATTTGCCCCGAGAAGTCTTTGCTGTTGATCCAACCGATACAAGTCAAACTCCAAACACAGAGGTTCTCTACAGGTGCAGGAAATGCAGGTACTGAACCTTTTATATTTCTCCAAAAAATGTAATTTTGAAATCGACTCAAAGGAGAAATAGCCCATGTAAATCCATGGGCACATCACTGTTGTCAGGAGGGATGAGCTCTTGCCTGAGTTTCCATACTGATATGTCACAACAAATTAGACAGATAAAACTATCTTAAGAAATACAAAACTTTTTGTTCGTTGAAGTTGTGCAGGACTCGTGCAGCCTGACCTGCAGGCACGATTCCGCTTGGCGCTGTGGAGTTGCTCGCTCTGAAACCATAACTTCTAGTTTGTTTTTGACAAGCAGTTTCTCCAGAAGAAACTTCTTGTAGATTTGGAGGTTTCCTGCATTTTAACTACCTTTTATGGATTGCTTAAAGTGAAAGTGAATAACCCTACTGTTTCCTAGGTGCAGGTTTCTTCAAGTACGTGAGTGTAGATTTAAAGTTTTAGTAGGCAGGAATTGTTTAAAAATGGATCTATAGAGGAGGCAGAGCCCAAAACTACACAAATCACTGGATCTGTTAAGAAGCAACCCTGAAGGGAGCTGGTGCCTGCTGGCCTGAACTAAATTAAACCCCCATAGGATTTGTGATCCTGTTGGTTTGCTTACCGCCAGGAGGCCCACCCCCTGTTTTTAACTGGGGGCAGGTTTCCCGAGTCAAACCGACTCTCTTGCTTCTCTTTTCCCCGTCGCGGAGGGCAGGCGCGCCCTGTTCCGTAGGTCCAGCGTTCTGTCCCACGCGGAAGGGAGCGGAGCGGCAGCCTTTGCCCACAAGAGGATACCGGACCCCGCTCAGCGGCGTGGCGGCGAGCAGTGCACCTCCTACTTCACGGAGCCGGTGCAGTGGATGGAGCCCGCGCTGCTCGGCGTGATGGAGGGACAGGTGACGGGCAGCGCGCGCTTCATTTTCTGCATGATTTTTTCTTGCAAAGGTTTTTTTTTTCTTGTTTCTGTTCCCCGATGCGAAAGTCTCCCGGCCTTCCTTGTGTGAATTTTGCAGCTTATGGACAGATTCTTAAAATGCTGAATATCCTTTTATGAGGAAACGAGCTGGTGATCTTGTTGGACTGAGGACACTAGCCCGGGTGTTGGACAGGCATTATCTGCTGTTTGTTTTTAGCATGAGAGCGTCTTGGCCCACTCCCTTCTGCGGGCACAGCTGCCCGCTGCGCCCCAGGGCAAACCCCAGTCGTGCCAGTTTAGCTTTTCTGCCTGTTTTTCAGCCCATTTACCTTCTCTGAAGTGTTACAAGGGAAGGAGCTGGCCTGGCGCAGGTTGCCACAATTTAGTGTACCGTGGAAGTTCATTTTAAATAGACCTACATCCATGTGCTCCGTAGAGCAGGTCACTGCGTTCAGCTCTGGGGTCCCCAACACAAGAAGGACGTAGAGCTACTGGAACGAGTCCAGAGGAGGCCACGAAGATGATCCGAGGGCTGGAGCACCTCTGCTATGGAGACAGGCTGAGAGAGTTGGGGCTGTTCAGCCTGGAGAAGAGAGGGCTCCGGGGTGACCTTCCAGCACCTTCCAGTGCCTAAAGGGGCTACAGGAAACCTGGAGAGGGGCTTTGGACAAGGGCATGTAGTGACAGGACACGGGGCAATGGCTTTAAACTGGAAGAGGGGAGACTTTGATTAGATCTAAGGAAGGAATTTTTTACAATGAGGCTGTTGAGGCACTGGCACAGGTTGCCCAGAGAAGCTGTGGCTGCCCCATCCCTGGCAGTGTTCCAGGCCAGGTTGGATGAGGCTTTGGGCAACCTGGTGTAGTGGAGGGTGTCCCTGCCCATGGCTGGGGAGTTGGAACTGGATGATCTTTGAGGTCCTTTCCAACCCAAACCATTCCATGATTCTGTGTGTTTTTCTTGCAGCTTCTGTGTCCCAAGTGCACGTCGAAGCTGGGCTCCTTCAGCTGGTGGGGCGAGCAGTGTTCCTGCGGCCGCTGGGTGACACCTGCCTTCCAGATCCACAAAAGCCGAGTGGATGAAGTGAGGATGCTGCCAGTTGGTACCTTCCGAGCTGCCAAAACCTGAACTTGTCCCTTCCCTCGATGCATTCCTTGGCTTCCACAGAGGACTGCTGGCGAGCCTGTGGTTGCCAGGAGCGAGCTTGTGACTTCCATCCCTTTGTAACATGGTGGAATTACGTGAATATCTGCTCCATTTGAGCTTGCTGTATGTCCAATAGATATAAAATAGTGAAACAGCCTTCGGAGAGGTCTGAGAGTGGTCAAACATGTACAAAACCACCTGAATGTGACGGTGTTAGTGTAGTCTCACTCTGTTGCTATTTGCAGAAGGCCTCAGCTCCTTCTGGAGAAGGACTGACTGCTAACGGGTCCCTGCCAGGCTGGGGCCAGCAGTGCCGCTGCTCTTCCAAGTCAGGAGTTCCGATCGGTTTGTCCGAAACACACAGCTGAGATTTTCGGAGGTGCACTCCCTGACAGGAGGTACGTCCTGGGGAAAGATTGTAAGGCTTAGTGAAGTGCCATAAAATGGTACGCTTACAATGGCTGAAAGGCAAGTCCACACTTGTACTTGCATTACAATAAAAGTAGTTCTAAAAGTGCTCTACCCCAAGAATATTTACTACACTGTAGCTCCTCCTTTGATGTAACATCTGAGGATATGACACGGGCTGTACTGCAAGGGGAGAACTGAGGAAAAACGTTCTTGCCCCATTGCTGCTTACAAGTTCAAAGAGATCCCTAAGAAGTGGTGAGATTTTAAAAAAGCACAGTACGCTGTGTACACCACGATGGCACAGGTTTGGTTTGACAAATAGGACAGGTAAGACCTACTTTAAATCCATTTTATTTTCATTGACTTCAACAATTTTTTTTACTTTTTTTTTTTTTTACACAATTTCCAGCAACATACATTATGAAATATACAAGATAAAGTAGGTGGTTTAATTCCTCCCACAGCTGTGGAGGGAAGACTTGCAGGACGCAGTGAACATCAGAATCTCAACACTGAAAACAGACACGAAACAGAAAAGACAAAAATATATATGAAACTGAACTGGTCACGCTTCAGGGCCAGGTACAGCACAATAAATATTACAACTGCATTATCTTAGACATCTTCTGTAAAGTTTAACACATCATCTACGTAAAGAGATAAGAACATCTGGCTTCTGGCATGAAATGCTACATCGTACAGTGGTGACGGGGCGGACGATGAGGGACCCGGCGAGGGCGTGGGGGCGACTGCTCATTCACACATGCTCATGGGGAAAACACGTGGCACAGACCAGTTTAGTGAGCTGTAAACTTCACCATTCCCTACCCGAACAGCAGCTGGAGAAGCAGCTGCTTTTGGGAGACCCAAAACCAGTAAATCCCTTTAAGTTTGAGCCGGGCTCTCCCTGACAAACGGTGAGCTGGGACTGGAATGGAAGTGGCGGCGTTTGGTCGGCAGCACGAGATCCCTTTGCGTCGCTGCTGTTCACCAGCTGCTCTGTGCTCCTTCCTCGTCTCCTGGCTTTGCCGATAAACACGCCCCAGCCAGCAGCTGTGGCTACCAAAAAAAACCCGCAGCCCGACACCACAGCCACTGGTGGCCCTTGCACTGCCATCAACAAGGCAGGAGCAAACACATTCCGTACCTGTCAGCCTTTCCCTGTTCATCCCCCGCCCCCAGACGTGCAGCATCAGACATTCCTCCTCCACGAGAACTGGGCACCTTCTGTGCCAGCGAAGGGGCCAGGTGAGCACAGGGGGAGGAGGAAGGTGAGGCACACGCTCTCCTCTCCCTTCCGTGACCGGGCGCTCCGCTGGGAGGGAACGGCCCTGGCAGAGCACCACTGGGGAAGGGCTGTGTTCCTGGTCCACGCACACGGCATCGCTCGCCACGCACGTCCTGCAGTCCGGGCAGCAGTCACACGTCCTGCAAACTAAAGGAATGAGTGCTGTGCAATTTGGGGGGGGAGTGGGAGGCAGGAAGGTACCATTCTGCTGGAAGCTGAGCACCTATGGCTTTGATTTTAGCTGATGCGGAGTTCAACGGTGCCGTCTGAATTAAGTAGGAAAATAGAATTCCATTTCTCCAGTGTGCAAAAGTATCCTGGCTGCTTGGACCTGCTCATCTGCTAGTCAGTCCCTTCTTGGAGAGACCCAGGACTGCCACGTTTCAACACCAACAGACTCAGCTGAGGGCTGCAGAAGGGACAGAGTCGTGAAGGATTTCTGGTTTTATCAACGTGCCATCAGAATATGGTCAAAAACTCCGAGAATAGGGAGTTCTACATCAGGATGGTCACTTAGCAAAGTGCCAGATGGAAATGCCCTTACCGCTGCCGGCCCAGAACGTACCGCGTGACGGCACCATCTGCACCTCCCCTGCCGGCACAGCTCAGCTGGTTACATCCCAGGGGAAGGACCAGTTACCACGAGAGCCGGGAGACGGAGGCAAGGTGGAATTTTTCCCACCCTGGAAGTGCACAACAGCATTTCCTCACTCAGCTGGGCCCACTCACACGTCACTCGCCTTTGCAGACACACCAAGCGATGCCAAACACAAACTAAGAGGAATGTTTTGAAGGACACTCTCCGAGTAGGAAGAGGGAAAATATGGGGCTATTTATCAACTCAAGTACTGTTGCATCATTCTTGTAAGGTAGGGAAGCAGAGGAGCCGAGATGAGGAACTGCGAGGACAAACTGGAGTGGTCACAGAGGTCGAGTCTAGTCTTCCAGACTGCGGAACGCATTCTGCATATCCTCAAACAGCTGAGCGTAGTCTGCCTTGATTTTCGTTTCACCATCTTTGACAGGGTCCTGAAAGACAACACACAAATGAGCAGATCCGTCGGGAAGAGCCTCAGGTCCGTAACGCAGCCCTGCTCTGCCAGCGCGGCCACTTCTCCACCTCAGGACTAATGGGTGAACTGCACAGCGGGCGTTACAGCTCCGTCTCCCACGCCTGTCTGCCTCGCCAACAGCCACCAGCTTTACATCTCCTCCTCCTTCCACGTTCAGTGAGCAGGGAGAGCGGACACGGGGCAAAACCCTTGTGACTCAGAAATGCTCTGCCGTACTTTTTGGGGCACATCCCCTATGCCATCACTCAGAGGTTGCTCTGCTTAAAAAAAATCCTGTGAAATCATAAAAAGCTCAAGAACATCTTCGTACAGCTTCGTTTTCTCACAATACTTCTCATGAAAGACAAGGGCAAACCGTAACCATCGGCTCTGCGCTGCGGCTGCGAGGGGCACTGACTGCTGCGCTGCGCGATCCGTTCAGTGTCCCCACCATCGCCCTCTCGGCGGCACGCGTTCCTCTAGGTCAGTGCAGCGCTCGGGGACACAGGACTCCTGTTTGGATGCTCTGCTCCCTCACTGTCTCTCCAAAGTGCATGGACCATGGGATGGAGGACATTTAAATTCTGACACCTTGTAGACTGTCAGCCAGGAACTACGATTGTCCTTTCGTAACGATCACTGCATTAGAGGGACAGCTCCACACGTGCTCACCCTCTGAATTCCCTTTTCCAGCCATGCTGTCCCGCTCGGCTGCATGCCAGATGTCTTCTGGTGGCTGGGGTTTGTAAAAAGCGTATTACTTCCCCTATTTCTAGACAACCAGCTCTCAAAGAAGCTCATGTCTCCAAGTGTAGCTTGTTATGCTCTTCATGCTTTGAGAATATACAGCGGGGACCTGCCCGCTGCAGAAAGAAGCCAGTGCTCTCCAGGAACAGAATACCTCGGCACACCGGAACGCTTAATTTTAAACATAATTTTATCTTATGGTACTTGTTCTTGAAAGATTTGCAATATTGGCTTCCAAGAGTCCTAACAGAATAAGCACCATACCTCACAGAGAACTCCTTAGCTGCTTTAACACCAGCCAGCGCCACAGGTTACCGTCCCACCAGTAACTGCGACACCAGCACGCTCCGGATGAGCTTCAGGAAAGCCGTACTCTGAAGAGATGGCTACTGAAGTCACCCAGAGCAGATGCTCTGAGCCACTTGTTCTCTCCCAGCCCACGCTGAAGTTACTCCTCCCTCCCTCTCCTCGTTACCTGCCCTAAGCCCCGAAGCCAAGCACAGGGCTACGACGTGTTACTGCAGCAGTCCAGCACGTCTGTCCTCAACTCCTACTTAACACAGCTTGAGCAACGTTTCTACCATTCATTTTTTAGCACATTCCTGGATTTAAACTCCAGGCTGCTTTCATCTGCTAATAGTCTCCTTAGAACATGTTCTAATTTTTTACTGAATTCTACCACGAAGCCCCAAAACAAACAGGAAAGGTGCTTGTGCTATCACCGTGTTTGTAACGGAACAGACCGCTGACGGCGGCGCTGCAGCCAGCACCCCCCAACCAGGTTCCTGTGCTCACCAACCAAAACCAGTTCTTAAGTGCATTCAAAACGGCTGCAGAAAGTCTCTGTTCACGGACCTTTATCGAGGGCAGCTGATCACCACCTCTGGTAACAGCCTTCCGGAGCCACGGGCCGCTCACCAAAGCGGCACAACCCGGTTCCTTCCAAACATACCTTGAATTTCATGGAGGTAAGCCTGTAGAGGATTTCGCTCATGTTTTCTCGGATGATGGACCACGTGATCTTGTTGTCACTCTGGGCTGTGGTTTCTACAGCACGGCGTGCCATGTCATAGAACGCAATCATATTGGAAAGCATTCCCACCGTTTTGTAGAACGGGCAGAACCTGATGGAACAGAAGAGGATCTGTCAGGTGTCTTGGAACAGTTGACAGGACAAACCTTTGCTCCTGCCTTCACAGCAACTCTGAATCCTCACCCAAAAGAGCAAGCCCTGGCCTGCTTTGCACCGGTGGTTTTGATACAGCTGTCGAAGGGGAGAGACTGCCTCTAAGAGGTCCCACATTTTTAAAGAGGCAAATCATGGCCTCAGACAATCATCCTAAAGTGACGTGTCTGAAGCAGCACCCAAACACTGGGCAAACCAGGAGACAAGCAGAACCATCGCTGTATAAGTCTCACATTTCAATCTGTGCCAATACTAACGAGAAAGGGAAAACACTAGAGCAGCCAACAGAATTCCTCCT